TGGCTTCACCTGTCGGGGCAGAACCCAGGTCCCAGGGAGCCACTGCGCTCCTTCTCCGGCTCCTGCCCAAGTCGCAGCTCGTTTTGGGGCCACGATCAGATATTCGCCCCTTACTGTTATCAAGCCTGACAAAACAGAGGGAGCTGGAGTCATCCAGTGATGTCATAGGCTTTCCAGAGTGTCAGGGTGCAGGGGACTGCAGGGTTATGTGTGAGATTTGGGTTTCTTTATATTCAGAAGTGTGACGAGTTGGTTGGTGAAGGGGCAGAGTGAAGGCTGTCTTTGAATTCTCAGCTGACATCCAGCAATGACTCCTCCTCCAACAGGAAGCCCAGCACCTGCCCTGCGGGGAACTATGGCTGAGGCAGGACCCACCCAGCCAGCTTCCCCACCCCTGCGGGCCGGGGCTGCTGTGCATTTGCTCTGCAGCAACACTCAGCAAAACAAAGCTGTCCGGGGAAACTGTTTCTTTGAGGTGTGATGGGCACATGTCAGAATCTGAGCCCTAAGATCTTAGCTGCCTTTTCTCTAAAGAGTATTATGCTCTGTGACTCAGCAGTGGATCGCCATCGGTTCTCATCTCCTCTGTCCTTAGCAGACCTAAAAATCCTGCTGAAGTATTTGATCTAACGGTGCATGTGGTTTGCTTGGTACAAATTCTGGAGCCAGTATTTCACAAGGAGTCAGAGACTTCCCTGAACCTCCACACCATCTGAAGACGCTGACTCTGCATCCAGTGGTGTTTGCAGGAGGAGGGAGACCCTCCGAGGTCAAGGTCTCACACGGGGCAGGGAGCCACGGGTGCTTCTTCGTGGCCTGATTCCCACCGAACACAGTGATATTTTCTGGGACATTAGAGGTCATAAATTTTGGTTAATGCCAACTTGATCCTATTTCTTAGAATCCTACTGCATTAAGAACAGAATACTGAAAAAAAGAATATTGAGAAAAGAAAAGAACAGAAACATGTTATCCTTCAGACGAAGGCAAAGCATGCTGCTCCCTTGTTGGGTGGCAGGGTCCGTGTCACAGTACAGCGGGATCTGGCCGTATCTTTTCTCCTATTGCCTGGAATTGGTGCTGCTGGGAGAGGCCGGAAATGGAAAAGAATTGCTAGTGTGCTTCCTATATGGATTTGAGGGATGGAATTATTTTGCTTGCAGGAATAAGGCTGAGTATTTGAAGCACTTGTTTATTTCAGTCGCAGGGCAGCACGCGCTTGAGCGTAGACAGAGCAGGACGGCTTCACGTGCAGCGTCCTGTGGCCGCGGCGGCACAGGCGCGGGTGCATGTGTTGACCGGGGCGGGACACATGAGAAGACGGTGCGAGGTCACTTGGGATTTTCTAAATACAGGAAAACAGGAAAGATGAGGGGGGAGGGGAGCCCCTCTAGTGTCTTTTATTGCCTCTTTCAAGTCTTTTCTCACTGTTTGTTTCCTGATGGACCAGGACGTAGATGCTGACATCTTTCCCTCCTCTGCCTGTCTTTGTCTCTGTACCATAAGAGAGTTTTGTCATAGGGAAGTTGGGAGTGGCGAGGCAAGCCAGATGTTAGATGCTGATTAAAATGTTATTGGAAACTTTATTTTGCAATCACACCTAAAGCACCATGACAAAAACCCACAAGCACTTGAAGACATTTGAGAACGGAATCTATGTAGATTACTTTGGATGCTGCAGAATTCACTGACTTCTGTCATTTTGACGTACGTGGTTTCATGAAATGAAAGGATATTGAAGATTGTTCCTTCTTATACACAAAACTCTGCTTTAATATTTTTTCAGCTTCATTGAATCTTGAAATTTTGATGTCTTAGAGGTGATGTTATAGTAGTATTTCCTCATGGACCATGGCTTTGTGAAAAGCAGATAATTTTTGAAGTATAATTACTGTACGTTTTATTGATAATGACAAGTTTATGGGAGCTCCTGCCTCTGTTAATCCTTCTTACGTTAGGAGTTAAAAGATACAGAACAGAGATAATGTTGCAAAAAATGAATGTGAAACTAAAGCCGCTGTCTCCTGCCCACAGATGACGAGGACGGCATGGACTGCGCGGACAGCGAGAGACGGCCTCACTTCCCGCAGTTTTCCTACTCCGCCAGCGGCCGGGAATAAGCCTCCACCACCCTGCCCCTTCCCTGTCATCGAGATCTATTCCAGAAAATGATTCCCAGACACCCCCACTGTCCGAGCTCTTACAGATAGCAGGGCCGCCCTCTGACATCCCAGACCAGCCGAGGGTCCCCCCTTGCCACCGTTCACCCTCATGGACACACACACATACGCAAACACACTCCAGTTTTTGTTTTTGCATGAAGTTGTATCTCAGTCTAAGGTCTCATGTTGTTGCTGCTATGGTCTCACTATTCTAGCAACTTTAAGAAGTAATTTTACAATCTTTGGAAGTCATGAGCCCACCATCTCTCATCTGTATACCAGCTGTCACCTTTTGCTCTTCTAGTTTTTTTTATTTTCCCCCTAACAGGGAAGGCTAAATGAGAAACACTGATTCTAGGTACATTTTTTTTAACTTTCTAGAAGATAAATCAAAAACTAATTAGACTAAGAAGATTTAGTTTATAGCTCAGAACAAGCAATTGTGGAAGGGTGGTGATGTGCATATGCAAAGCTTTAGTAAAGCATATAGGATCAATGCATAAAGTAGGTATGTCACGAAGATTTGGCTGGAATTCATTAGGAAGCATTTGAGAGAAGGACTGAACAACTGTTGATACATATATATATATATATTTTTTAATTCCTGTTGGATACTGTAAAGGAAGCCCAATATCACTGGACGTCCAGACTTCACGGGCATCGTGGGCAGATAAACCTTGATCTGCAAGAAACGAAAGCATATGCACAGCATCAAAGTCACTTAAAGGGTCGTAGGACACAGTTTGCACCAGAGAGCAGTTTTTCCCTGTGCTTGGAAACCTTTTTCCCTTCTTGATACCACCTCTGATGGCTGAAGAATGTAGACAGGTTTAATGATCCTGCTTTTCACCAAAATTTGTATACCAAGGTAAACAGGTGTTTGCCTTACTTGTTTTAATTTTTTACTCTCAGTTCTGTGTGAAGTAGCTTTTTCTCAGATGTTACAACTTTGAATGTCCTTTTACGATTTTGTTTGTTTTGCAGTAGTATTTATTTTTTAGTGATGAAAATTGTATGTCATGTTAGCAGATGCAGGCCCACCTTAACACCAGGTAGACTTACTGCAGTTTCTTTTGATCCATGTGCAAGGAATGTACACGCCAATGAGAATCATGCACTTTTCTCCTCTGTAAAAAAAAAAATAAGGCTCTGAAATTGTATATATTGGTTAGAATTTGGCTTTGGGAGAAGAGATGCTATCATTTAACCCCCTGGTGCTGAAAATGAGAAAATCCCCAACTGTCCATGCCAATGGGTTCCTGAAACAAAAGATGTTGATGTCGGCTGAGTTGAGAACTGAAGTGTTCCGGCGGCCTGGCAGCGTGATGTAGCAGAGAAAACCGAGGCCGGGTGGCAGCAGGAAACGAGCTTCATGTGGCCACAAGGACGCAGGTCCAGTGTTTACACAGTAGGCAGGAAAGGATAAGAACCTGGTGTGTTTATTCTGGTCATGGTACATCTATCACTGAATTAAGCCATCAGGGAGAGAAAAACAAAAGAAGAACACCTCCAGCTTTTCTCTTTCTGTGTAGACTCATGTCCCCAAATTCCAGCGTTTCTCACTGAGGGGACGTGTATGCAAACCTCATCTTTCTCCCTCATTAATGACGATCTTCTGATTAAACCCTTCGGTGCTAGGAGCTGACATTTTCCAAAGCAGCCTATGAAGTCCGGGGGCCGGGGCCATCCCCTCCTGGGGCGATCGTGGAAATGTGTTCTGACTACCCGACAGCTCCCAACGGAGACTACAGCACGACGTAGTGTCCCGACCGCACTGTGCAGAAGGGCACGCGACTTTCTAAGTAGGCCGAGTCACTCGTGTGCAGACGTCTTAGCCTCGGCGCTGGAGGTGTGGGCTGACAGCTATGGAACCACTGCTGGCGGTGGGCGGGCCACTGGGACTGATGGGGCTAAAGGGCATTTTACTAAGGCAGCTAAGACACATTCAGACATAGGTCTTACCTGATTTTTCATATTCCTACCTGAGTGGACTTCATCTGTAGTATTAAGTAGGAAGTTACAGTAAGTAGTAGTTAATTCTTTCTCACACATAGAGCTTAACTTTTTTGTTTTCCACTTGGAATTATGTTGAATGTTCACTTTGACAAGAAAGTAGATGAGAAGAAATGTCCTTTGAGTTGTCCTGCATCCATCATTTGAGAAGGGGACAGGCGGGAGGAGGAGAGAGCTGAGACAGAGGGGAAGCGCGACACCGTCCACTAAGCACGTAGCTTTTTGTTGTTTTGGTTTTTTCCCCCAAAATCTCAAGATGATTTCCAGGACCTTGGCCAAGGACACTTCTAAAGGTTAATGACCGGCACTGACAGTGCCCCAGGCTGGCCACTCCTTCTAGCTGGCTCTCAGTCCCCAGCCATGCCAGTCAGTTATCCCCTGAGACACCATGAGTGTCACACAAGTGTTTTCTTGGCTTCGATTTTGAGAACCCTTTACTTTCCTTCCCAGATCTCAGTCCGCTGGTGTGGAGGTATTGGTAGAAATACAGAAATGTGCGTGAAGGGAGATTTCTAAAACTTTCCTTGTGTTGCCCACGGCTGTGGGTGTGGATCGTGGCGGGTGCAATGGCCTGAAACCTGGACTCAGTCTCGCAGAAAATGGTTCATTCAGTCTTTGCAGACTCCAGCTCATATTGTCTTGATGTTTGACCTCCTGCCATAATGCAGGTCTTGGAGGGAATTGGCCCTTTCTGCTTGGGTCGTGGGCGGGGTCGCCACAGCTTTGCTTCCCACACTGATGACATAGCATCATTGCAGTATTGTTTCCATTGCCTGTACCTGGTCTCTGGCTTCTTAAAGTGGACTCTTCTTGCAGGGGCCACTTGCTTCTCCTAGAGGACAAAAGTAAGGGCCTTCCTTACTAACTGCAGGGTCTATATCTTACACCTCAGTGTACACACTTTGCTGCTACTGTCTGTACTGTCTACAGTAGAATTTCCTGAATCTTGCTCCTGGTAGTGCATTACAGGCAAGCATGAAACGTAAAGTATTTATTTAAATAAAAAGAAAACCTCTAAATTGGTCATTGAGTTACCTCCCTGTAGCTTTATAGTTTGTGACATCTCTTGACCTTGCTAGTTCTTTCATTAGACCCACGCAAGATCTAGTCATCTGGTTAAGGATTTTAAGCAGACGTTAACTATGAACCCAAGAAACTGTATTACTATTACTGTCGGTCATACTAAAACTGTTTATTTCCTTAAGTATATGGCCCACAAGGATGTGAAATAACTACAAGAAGCTGTTTTTGTACACTGTACATCCTTAGTATTTTTACACGTATATGGTAGGGACGCACATGACCTTCCTTCGTACAGACGGCCTGAATAAAGCACTCTGCCAACCCGCTGCTTCTCTCTTTATTGTCGTTGGACGTGGTTCTGTAAACTCGGGAAATTAGACTCTTCTGGTGGGGGGGGAAAGGGTTTTTAGTAGCTCCACCTGGTTTTAACCTACCCTGTATGAAATGTGGCAGAAAAATACAGAAGTTCCTCCTAGCTCAGCTCACATGGGATTATTTTTACTTCAGTAAAATGGCAATAGTGAAGTTGTACAAACTGGCAAAAGGCTCCTGGAAGGAGTGGTGCCCACCTCAGCATTGGGCGCAGGACAGATCTGCTGTGAAGCCAGGCATGGGGGAGGTCTCAGACCCTAATCATCTTCACAACCAATGGTTTGGACCCCAAGTTCTTCAGGGGTGTAGCTGCTCATTAATGTCTTCCTGATACTGTACTGTTGTGCGTACTTCCTCTCAGTGTTCTTTTAACACTTCGTGGCTAACAAACGTAGGGGACACGGGTGGTAGACGGGCAGGATGGCTGAGCCACAATCTGGTTTACGGTGAATCATTTTGGATGGGGCCTTTTTCAGATTTTACCTCATAAAGCTACAATTGTAGAAACTTGGCTTTGTTCCTGTGATTAAGCCAGATGGAGGATGGCTTGGGGAACAGAGTTTGTCAGGCACGTGTGTGTGTGTGTCACAGCCACACTTGAGGGCATCCTTACACGTGCTCTTAAAACCACTGGGGTTGACAGATCTGGGAGTCTAACATGAAGTGACCTCGATCATTCTTTAAAGGTGCTATTTTCAGGCTATTGTATAATTTATTCACAGCGTACCTAAAACAGAACTGACGACTGAAATATCTCATGGGACAGGCTTTATGTCTGGCATGTTTGATGAAATCGAAAACTTCTGCATCTGAATGGAAGTTCTGCTATTTCAGGCTTGAAACCCTTATGTGCTCAAGAGACTGGAATCGTCTGTGTGTGTAGATGTCACCACGTCCGGAACCTGCGTCCTCCACGTCACTTCTGAGAGGCAGGGCAGGACGCGGGGCACCGCCAGGCCAGTGTTGAGACAGTGGCGGTGGGTCCCTGGCCGGGAGAACAGCCCTGAGGTCAGGGACTTGTCCCCGCTGCAGCCTTGCCTTTAGTGTTGAGTTGTCACCCTCAAGTCCAACACAAAATTGTCAGTGTCCATTTTTTATTACTTTAAAGCATTTGAGGGCTTAACTGTGTAGGAGAAATACTATTTTAGACTAAAATGATCAGTGTACAGGTATTTGATATACTCTTTAAGTAAATTTTCTAATTTCACTACATTTTAAGCTCCCCTCAAATACTGCATATGGAAGAAAAAATCCACCACCACCAAGCCAAAGATGCTTTTTTGTCTGTTTCTGGGGTTAACGGAATGGGAGAAGAATGTTCGGTGCTTCCTGGTGTCCCGACTGCACGAGTCAGTCAGATGATGAGTAGCGGAGTCTTAGGGGACGGTGATTAAGGGCAGGGGAATGACATGTACGTACAGATCAGAAAAAGGGAAGAAAAACTAAGGGCAGGAAAAAAGTTTGGTCCTTAATACACGTCGGCCTCGTTCAAATATGTGCCTTTCTGGTGTGTGGCGTTCACCGCTGCAAGGTAAAAGGAAACATTACAGTCCAGGTCTCTCCAAAGTTCATTTATTGAAATTCCTGTGTGTAACCGAGCATCAAACAAGCAGACTGAAAACACAGTGACTTGGAGCGTTCCTGAAAACACCCCAGGAGCTCCTGTCGCCTGGTGACGGACCCGCCCCGCCCGTCTGTCGCGCAGGGACGGCTCCGCTGCAGCCAGGGGAGGTCATGGTGCGTCGTGTCATGTGAAGTACACGTTGGGTGAATGTAAATATCTCTGTAAATCATTGGTTTCACTCTGTTTCATCCAGGTCAGCAATCAGATTGTGGCATGCTGGGTAACTGGAAAAAATAATAAAACGTAAGTTTAAATAGATCATGTTCTTCAATGTGATTTGTCTTCTCATTGGTTGGTTCAGTCACCTATAATAAATTTTTGGAGAAAAATATTCCTATTGCTGAAAATGCGGAAATTATATGTAACCAACTGTATGAAAAGTTGGTGCCTCGTCTTGACCATAGGTCAAAGCCCTCGGCTCAAATGAACGTAAGTTTAACCATCTCATGTTAATGCTTTAAATCTGAAGACAGCCTGACTCCAGGCATCCGTGTGCCTCTTCAACTAGGACAGGCGGATGTCTGGACACGGCCAGAGATCCAGCTCTTCCCTCTCTGAGAAAGGAGACGCTGATTGGTGCTGGAGTCTCTTTACTGAAAATTAATCTATGTGGCAGGTGAAGCTAGAACAAAACAGGACATAGACCAAACGCCCCTAACACATTTCTGGTGAAACAACACAAGCTACAACCTGCAAATTTTTAGCTGTAGACAATTTACTGTATCGTATATAAAGCGTCCACGCATGGAAAGCCCCCCAGGCTGGAAGAGGGACTTTGGCGTACTGTGGTCTCTTAGTTTTAAACAGATAGAAATGCTTCAAAACCACTCCGTGCACATCAGTTTAGGGAGAGGAACATATTGGACGCCATTGACCGCCTTTGTTGACAGCTGTGCAGGTGAGACCACATCGGGAGGTAGTGGCCGAAACCACTAGGAACAGTCACGTTCCACAGAACATGTCTTGACTATTCCTACAATGCACCATGTGGTAAGAGGACAGAAATGCTGTCATCGCCTTCTGGGGGTGTCAAGTTCAAAGGAGGGTCAAGACGGTGTCTCCCAAACCTCTGTTGTCATGTCAACAGGTAAAGGGGAAAGCGGTGCAGGCCAGGCCCAGTCTGGTCCCTGTGTAGCTGGGAACTGACTTCAGGAGACACAGCCTGGCCGTCCCCAACAGCTAGGCTCAGAGGGAGGGCTCCTGTCATCCGAGTTTAAGCCGTGATTACTTGCTGGGGACTTTCAGGACAGGATGATGAGTGACACAAATAGATTCACACAAAATAAATATATGGAAATCAGTCTGTTGCCTTTTTTCAAAATGAAAAAAAGATAACATATACGTTTCAAGCGGACTTCGCAGTAAGAGTAAGGCTGAGTGGAAGCGTCTCCGTGCAGGGTCATCGGAGCATGATGCGTGCACCTGGGCCTCGGGCTGAGACAAAGAGCCTCACCCGGGCCAGGCACCCTGCGCTGTGCTGGGGTGGCCTCCCCTACGGTCCCCAGTGCTTCTGTTCCCTGGGCCCTTCCTGAGCCACCACAGGGGAGTCTCCCCTGCCCTTTACTGTGACATCGCACAGGGGCACGGGAATAGGGAACACAGCACGGAGGCTGCCACCAGCTCCATGTGACCACGCACGGGTCTCCATCTCGAGCTGATCTGCTTTGACTGACCCGCCCCAGGGCACTTCTGCCAGGTGACTGTTGTGAACGACCCTCCCTCTAGGGACTGAGAACGAGGCAGGTCGCCTGGGGCGTGGATGCTCTCGAGGTTTGGCTCACTTCCGAACCTCAGACATTCTCTGGTGACTTTCGGTGCAAGGATGAGCATGAGCCACAACAGGCACATTCGAGAGAGAACTGCAGCTGAACGTGGGGGACAGCGCCGGGCACAGCAGCAGTGGCCTGGAAGGAAGGGCTGGGGCACGGGTCGTGCGCGCAGTCTGGGGTTGCGCTTAGCTCCGGGACACTGGCCTTGCCCGTGATGAGTCTTGGTGGGGCCGTGGGCTCCCAGGCGTCTAGTGATTTGTCATCATCCATCTGTCCCCGCTCTGTGGGGGGCCATCCCAGCGTGTCTCCAGGAGCACGTTCCCGCGCTCTCTTCGGCGGGTTTGTATTTTACCTGGTTTGGGCGAGAAGCCGTCCCCTCTCCGTCACTTTCCCACTGTGGCACTCGGTACCTGGCACCGTGTCCTCCCCAGGACGGGCGCTCAGTGTGCAGGGGCTGGTGGATGCTGTGCCCTGTGGCACTGCTGTCCTGTCTGCTGAGGGCGGCACGTGGACCTGGTGATGCACGTTGCTCAGTGCCTGCCCCCATGCGACAGCACGTCCTCCGGTGACTGCCCGAATCTGGCTTACCTGCCCTCCCTCCTTGGGAGATCAGCGATGCTTATTTCCAGAAAGTCGGCTCCGTCATCCTCCCACAGTGCCCAGCCCGGCTGTCCAGGAGAGGACCGAGCACACCGGGCCCTTGCCGTGGTCCCCGGGTGCTGTGGCCCCATCGGCAGCCGCTCCTCTGGACTGTCCGCAGATGACAGACATGCTCCCCGCCAGGCCCTCTGTCCTAACCCATTTTTTACTCATTTTCAATCCTGACGGAGCCTCCTCTCCACACACCCTGACTGCTGCCTAATCTACGTCTGATGTTTGACTATGTCCAGAGATTAAAACATGAGTTGCTTCCGGTGACCTGGACTGTTCCCCAGAAGCCGGGTTGTGGGCTGGGTTCTTGTCCCCAGGCCGGTCTGAAAGGCCATTCGTGCCCCCTTGCGCCCCAGCCCCGCTGCAGCCTTCCTCATGTGCACACGTGTGTCCACGTGGCCAGGTCACAAACTAGTCCTGTTCCCTGTGCGTCTGGCTTTGGTAAGGCATCTATTTTTAACTCAAGAGGGCAGCTCCGTCTGGGGCACTGCAAAGCTTGCCCTGAGGTGACAAAGGCCCTGGCAGGCAGCCTCCCCTGGCGTTCTGGGAGGGGACCTGCTCCTGCTGCTGCAGCAGCTCTGGGCCTGCCCGTCCGTCCTTACCCGCTGGGGCACCCCCTTCTCCCCAGCCTGCGGCCCAGCTCTCGAGGACGAGGTGGCTTCCTGCCCATCCATGTCCCACTTCTGTTCACTTCATTCCTCTGGGCCTTATTTTTCCATCTCTGCAAAACGGATGTTAGATTATTTCTCTCAAGTGGCCCTTTGGAAAGCCTACAGTGATCTCAGCACTAACTCTCTTGGCTTCGTCATCATCAGTGCTGGGCTCTGGGCAACTTGAGGAGCTCCCTTTTGAAGGAAAGCTGGTTCTTTTTTTTTTTTTTTTTCTTTTTTGCCAGAAATTGAGTGATACAGAAGCTAAAAAGTTTACCTGAAGTGGTGCAGAGCTGAGATGTGAACCCAGACAGTTTGACCTCAGAGTCCAGCCTCTCTCATGCCAGGCCACCCTGCCCGTTCTCAGCAGATCGGTGAAGGCGCCCCCCCTGAGCAACCAAGGTGACTGTTCGTGGAACTACGGGCTGGCCAGGACCTTAGTGGGAACGTGGCTGTTGCCATCTGCGAAGCGGGACAGGAGCGAGGTCGCCCCAGACCACCCGGTCATTCTTTCCTGGCCTGCAGTGGCCAGAGTTCAAAGCCTGTTTCTTGACTGCCAGCCTGGGCTTTGCTGCGTCTGGCTTCCAAGAAGGGAAGAGAGGCGTAGAAGGCAGAGAAATGAGAAGTGGGCGCAGGAAAGGCCGCCCTGCAGACAAGGTGTGGCTCTCTGTAAAACAGCATCCCAAGCTGGACTTGGGACTTGCAGGGCGCAGGGAGGCGGCCCTGTGTGGGCCAGGAAAGCTGGAGCATGAGCAGGAGGGGCTGGGTTTCAGGGACTGTCACTGGGGTGCTCTGCCCTCCCCAGAGCCCTCAAACACAAGCCTGCCTTCCGCAACTCGGGATGCGAGTTCGTAGGCTTCTGGCTTTCTCGAGTCCCGTAAGCCACGAGAACTTGCTCTGCACATGGGCAGGTGTCTGTGTTTTATTGAACCATGTTTCCGTGGTAAATAGATTTTAAGAATCCCCAAAGGACAGACAGTGTCACCAACAGCAGAGAGTGGAGCCTCTGGCTGCCTCATGTTTGAAAGCGTTAAAAATAAAGACAACGCTGACATTTGGGGTTGTAATGTGACGGAATTACAGTCTTTTAAAGGCAAGAACCACTTATCTACACTCCATGTAATATTCAGTGTTTTGTTCACTTGTCTAATTGGATTAAAATATTTAGCTCCCCTTAAAATCTTGATTGTGAATTTATATTGCAAAATGTAATGTCTGACTCAGGAAGCAATAAGCAGGGCAAATGTATCTGAAGCAATATAAAATTCAATTTATTTTTCTTCCACGATTCTTCTTTTTTTGGAGACTGGCTGTTATGGGGATCCGAACCCTTGACCTTGGTGTTGTAACACCGCGCTCCAGCCAACTGAGCTAACCCACCAGCCCCTCCTGCACGATTCTTATTCTGAAAGTATTCACTTTTGGACAATGTGATGTCAATGGAAGAGTAAGTGTGGGTCAAATGAAATTCTTTGTGCTTTTCAATATAAATTACATGCAGGGCACTCAGTTAAAAAAACAAAAAATGAAAAAAACCATAGGCTGTTTGAGCTGCTTGGGGAAGTTTCTTGGAGGGTCCTAAGACCCTTATGTTAGAAATGCGGCACCCGGGGTCTTATGTCATTCTTTAAAAACACTCAGGCAGCAGGGAGTTAATGACATTTTAGCTGCATATGTTCCAAGTTTATTTAAAAAAATATGCAAGTCACTTTGGTTGACAGTGTCTTGTACACAGTTTTGAAAGAATCAGGGCAAACTTTAACAGAGTCAGTTTTTATTTGAAAAATATTTTCTGGGAATGTATCAGTGTTTATTTTTGAGACTGACAATTCGGGTGAAAATCAGGATAAAAACAAAAAAACAACAATTTGGTTGAAATCAAATTGTTTGTTTTCATCTATTTAGAATTCTTTCCAAAAAATCTTGGTTCAGGAGGAGGCTTTTTAGTTTATTTTACTCGGTGTATCTGCAGTTCTGTGTAAGCACCATCTGTCCTGCAGGTAGCTGGCTGTGTGGGAGCTCCTCAGTGTGCTGGCCGAAGCCCCCGCACCGACGAGTGACCCCTCCAAGTCCCAGCGTGGGCGATCTGCACACGTCCCCGCACCCGGGTCCCACTCTCCCTCACTTGCAGTCACATTTCTAGAGTTTCCCTCCTCCCTTTGCCTCCGGTCCCAAAGGGGCCTTTCCT